GTTATTGCTGAATAGTGTTGAACTTTCTTCTCCTGCGTCATATTCTTCATGCAATTTGCTTGAGCTGCACCCTCTACTGTACAGACATGGATTTACATTTCCTTCAGCCTGAGGCGTATTCATTTCACTTTTGTTGTGAAAGGGCTTTTACATTTGTAAAAGAAGAACTTTTTTATATTAAAAACAAACAAGCAAGCCCTGCCCAGATTTAAAAAGTAATGTAACACATTACTTTTAATATAAAGTATCTAAGTAACGCAGTTAGTTACTTTTTTTAGGGAGTAACGCAATATTGTAATGCGTTACTTTTAAAAGTAACTTTCCCCAACACTATTTATCAATGTGTAGCGAATCAGCTCATGGGGAAATATGAATAATTAATCATAACTAGTTATAATTAATTATGAATATTTAGATCCGCTGTAGATATTTAGCTGACCTCTCAGGGTCAACTGTCTGTCAATTCTAAGAACGTTAATTTCCTGGTTAAAGGAAATAACTTTCTTACTGTACAACTCTACACAGAGCCTGTAGCATAAATCTGCAGTTATGAGCAAACAATGACCAACGTCAAGTGTGATACAAGTAAGACTTTATTAACTACATAAACACTTAAACTAGTCTAACATACTACATAAACACTTAAACTAGTCTAACATACTACATAAACACTTAAACTAGTCTAACATACTACATAAACACTTAAACTAGTCTTATATACACATACACACGCACACACACACACACAAGCATACAGTTGGTATAGGAAAGGGTTAAAGCTTAAGCAGTAAAGAGGAGAGAAATAAGGAATGAAGTTATGGAAACATTTGCATATTCAGCAGATCTACACCTGAGGGAAACGTCAGATTCTTAGTTCAAACACACCTTTGTAAAAAGGTGCAAATGATACCTAATGTATCAATTAATAAGACTAAGTTTGAATACTTGCACGTCTCGTCTGTCTGAAAGAGAGGTTTGATGCAATCTGAAGGTTCAAGTTGATCTTTGCTGAAGTTGCCATGGTAACCAGGGGGGGGCTTGGTGTGTTGCAGATATCCTGGCATCCAGTTTATTGGGTGAGGGGACTGTGACGATTTGTTAATCTAATGAATAATTGATTTGTTAAATCAAATGAAAAATGGTGTGTCTGATTGGTCCAGACGCTACAAATGCAAGTAATTTTCAATGAATTACAACAAAGTACATTTCTAATCAGGTTAGTTCTTTCTAAGCATTTTTCCATTTATTGCAAAATAACCACACAATGGCACAAGTCGTATGCGATCATTCTGTGAGTTTTGCATCTTATTTTACATTTACATTTAGTCATTTAGCAGACACTTTTATCCAAAGCGACTTACAAATGAGGATAATAAAAGCAATCAAAATCAACAAAAGAGCAATGATATGCAAGTGCTATGACAAGTCTCAGTTAGCCTAATGCAATACACATAGCAAGTTTTTTTAAAAATTATATAATAAATAAAAAGAAAACAGATAGAATAGAGCAAGCGAGTGTTAGAGGCCTTTTTTTTTGCTTTTTATTAATTGTATAATAAATTTAAAAAAAAACAAATCAAATACAAAAAGAGTAGAGAAGCTAGTGTTGTTGTTTTTTCTTAAAGAAAACAAGCAGTTAGTAAATGAATAGAGTGCAAGTCTTAAAGGGGCAAGTTTTTTTTAAAGAATAGTATTAAAATAGAGACTGCTAGAGTTAGAGGGTCAAGTAAAGATGGAAAAGATGTGTTTTTAGCCGATTCTTGAAGATGGCTAAAGACTTAGCTGCTCGGATTGAATTGGGCAGGTCATTCCAGCAGGAGGGAACATTTAATGTAAAAGTCAGTGAAAGTTATTTTGTGCCTCTTTGGGATGACACAATAATGCACCGTTTAATTTAAAGGCCTGAAGTTGGTCACTGTTAACAACCATTACAGAGGAGCGCTAGCAGGACTTTTTTTTAGATTTAGATTAGAAACAGAAAGGTAATATGATATTACAACAACACCAGGGTGAGTAAATAAATAAATGAATATAATAAATAAATCTATTAAAAATAAATAATTATTATTTTGTTATTAAATAAATCATTTTTAAAGACACATAGTAACACTAACTTCATTTAATAGGAATAAACTTATTTAAAAATATAAATAGACCTAATTTCTCTCTAATGCCGAGTTCACACTGCACGATTTTAGCCCGATTTTTCACTCGCCGACAGGTTTTGCGAAATCGCCGACAAATACCCGACATCGGAGGCAAATCGGTGCTTGTTCACGCGAGTGACAATCACGCAGTGTGAATTATCAAAGACGCGATCTGAGGGAATCTGTGTTTTGTTGTGAAACGTAGTTTGCGGACCAGACAGAGCTGTCGGCGATTCTTCCTATTGTGAAGTCATGCAGTGTGAAACCCCCTTTCGCCGATCCATCGTGCAATGTGAACACAACAGCAACTGAATGCTACCCCAGATAGTCATCGTGCAGTGTGAACTCGGCATAAGTTACACCATTAATTTTCATATCAAACAAACACATTTTATATTACTTTAAC